TCGCCCATGTCTCAAACCGAGCTGTGCAATCTTCTTTGCTCAACCCTGCAATTCGTGCTATATCCTCACGCTTCGACATTGACCACTGCCGTGTTAGGTCACCATCCGCCATCAAGTCGTCCCGGCGGGCGGACCGCTCATGCGCAAGATCTCGCAGATACTCGCGTAAACTCGCCGCTGCTACAATCTTTTGGTTATTGTTAGGCTTCTGATAGGTTCTATTGTACCATTGAAAGAGTTCGAAGGCACGGCGTGGTTCAGAGACCAAAAAACTTGGCGTTACCAAAATTGCGTTACCGTGGGGGAAAAACCTCGTCAACTCAAATGTGCCCAGCTTTGGCATCTCAATGTGCATAGACCGAATGGATGGGTACGCGGGAGACAGCTGGAGTGACTCCCCAATGCACCAAAAGACGTAACTTGCACTGCTCTTATGCAAAAGCAGCTTGAGCAAACCAGGGAACCGTCGGAGCGAATCGGCGGCTGCCTCGTGAACAATGAAAACTCCTTGCGCAACAATTTTCGGATTGGTAAAGGCGGCCCAGTCGCCACCCGTTTTAGTTGAGAATATCCTACATTCTGGATTCTCTGAGCGAAGCCACTCGCTCACAGCCTCAAGTAACAGCACCCTGGATGGAGGAAACGCCAGGTAGAAATTGTGGCGTACATTTCGAATGCCAGGGGGCAGGATCGTATGGTAGTCGAGGCGTAAGAGATCGCGGAATATGGCAATCCGCGAAGCTATCTTTGAAGTGTTGACCTGTCTGATTGGTAAAGGCTTCTTAACAGCCGGCTGAGGCTTGAAGATGACATATTTCAGACAACCGTTTGCCGGGCTGTTGGCTTCGACTTCAGGCATTGTTCGCTTCCAATCTTCACACTCAGCTGGGTAAATGACGATGAGAAAGTCTTCATAGAAGCAGGCAACCCCAAACGACCCTGATCGTAGCCGCTCTGCTGCTCTCTCCACAGCAACTTGGTCGTTGGTCGACTTGGGCCTGACGCTTCCATTTGAGAGTAGCCTCTCAAAGACGATTGCCCTTTGAGAGGCAAAGGTTTTGGCTGTGAAGTTTCTGGCGAAATGCAGAAGTTTCTCGTCAACAAATTGAGAATGCCATGCGTCAGAGTCGCCTCTAACGTTATCAAATGTCATTTCGATGTCTTTGCTTCCCTGAGGACCCAAAACGACAGTTTTGTCGTGGTTTTGGCCTGTGCTTCTCGACTTGTAGTTTGTTATTGATAACTTGCGAAGGATAGACTGAGGTTTAGCAGGCGGTTGAGTAGACTGTGACGGATCTGAAGGCATTGGGGGTGATTTGAGTCTTCTTGGCCGAGCAGTCGGGTAGTCCACGTCCATCTCTTCTGGCTTGTCGACAAGCGGAACATCTGCAAACTGAACAGACTTCCTTTTCTTAGTCGTTGGCTGAATAGTCTGGGACTGGCCGAGATTCTGAGGGTGTGACACCCCCGCCCTCTCCGACGCCGTCATGCTGGACTTACTGGCTGACCTCGTCGAGAGATCATCGACTGAGCGCTTCAGTACAGACCGAGGGATGCTAGCTTTAGTACTGGTGCTCGGATAGGTGTTTGTACCGGTAGTGATTCCAGGAGGAGGCCCGCGGCTGATGCTGAATAGCTTCGTTGGGACTGCCGCGGGAGCCACGTCCGCTTTCTCACGACCTTGTAGCTCAGCTTTTCTTCTGAGTCGATGATTTGAGAAAAGCCGAGCATCCTTGTTAGGATCGGCCACGTTCTGTACGAGTTGACGGCGCTGCTTTGATTGCTTGCCGGCTGCGAAGACATTGATGCCCGTTCCGCTAGTCTGTGATCTAACCATTGTTCTTGAGCTCCCAGCAGTCTTTTTGGCCTTGTGAGTGGTCCGCGCAGTTGCTGTCGCGCTATTTGGCAACCGGCTGGTTGTCGCATTATTGACTACCCTGCTCGGCAGAGGCTTCTTCTTTGCTGTTCCTTGAGATCCAGTCGTCGCTGCCTGCGCCGAAGGTGGTTGTGAGCGTGGCTGAGGGCTAGAGCTGGACTGTGCCTTTCTTGTTGGTGATTTTGGCTTCTCTGTCGCTGAAGCCCGTTTCTGAGGGATTGGTTTCTCTGCGACCTCCTGCTTAGGGGCGATATTGGAGGGATGAGTATCAGAATGAAATGCATCTTCGTTTCGCCCCACAACCTTTGGAGGGGGAAATACGGCGTTGTAATCATCCTCCCCAACGTCTTCGTCGCTGAGATAGTAATCCGCTTTGGTTTCACCCTCCCACAGCCTAAGCTGGATACCTCGTTTTTTCCGTTCAACGTTGCGCTGGTGATGCCGTTGGTATTTGTCCTCTTGACGCTTGACCACGCTTTCTTGCCACGCGAGAATGTCGAACGGCTTCTCCTCTCCGGAAGCTTGCTTTGCTTGGGTGTCTTTCCATTCCCCAAGTAGCTCATCCGTCACGTTCTCCTCAGGCTCCCATGTAGCCTCTTCAATGGGGTACCCGGTCCACTCTACCAAATATTTGTCTCTTCCACCTTCGCGACACTGAGCGCGGATTCCCTCTACCAGCCATTCCTCATCGGAATCATGTTCGGACGCGAGAGTGGAGTTGATGGAGATGTTGTCATCGTCAGGCTGCTTGTCATCGGCGACGAAAAGCCCGGAAACATCCATGGCACGCTTATACTCTGGACAGCATATCCAGAAGGCACGCGTGAAGAAGTACGCTATGGTCGTATGTGTGATCTGTTGTCATAGGTATTCAACGCACCAAAGGTTGATACACTCAGATGGCGATGTGAGTATTGATACGCCAAGTTAGGTAGCAAGGCTCAGTGAATACAACCGCGCGCTGGACTGGAGCGTATAGAGGAACCTCTCATGCTCGAAGCGAAGTTCTGATCGGGCGAGGATCAAAAGTTGTCGATGCGGCAAAGAGGATGGAGCTCTTGTTCATGAATTTGAATGTAATTATGTGAACTAGTCAAAGGTAAGCGATGAGTTTCTTCGAGCGAGGTAATGAGGGCTAACTGGTGGGACAGATTGCGTCCCTACTCGTTAGGTACCGAAGGGCAATCAAGACCTTGAAGATCGAGAGGGGCGGGACAGTTGGAAGGTTTGTTCAGAGTAAAATCAGCTATGTACTGAATTGCTGGCGTGAAATTGGGCGCGAAAAGTAACCATTCAATGTCGAAGATACACCGGGGCGGTGGGAGAGCGTTTACATGCATGTCAGGTACGGAGGGCATCCCGTCGTGCCTTGGGGAGGTGTCGTGGAATAGTGTCCGTGCGGCATCTTGGGGAAGGTGCCACAGTCCACCGTGCCTTCAGTGTTTACAGTTCTGCAACCAAGGTAAGGTACTTAAGGTAGGTGGGTAGGTAGGAACCACCTAGGTAAGGTTAAGGTACGGGCATCTGATTGAGGTAATTGGGCCTACCTACCGATCCAACGATAGCGGAAGGCAGCGAGTAGCGTCTTAGCGTGCAGAGAGCAATGTCCTGCAGGCACTCGGACAAGAAGCAACTTTCCATCAACGACCCACCGAAAGTATTGGATGGTAATGTACACACATCCTCCCTCGAGAATCGGCACTTGTAAACAGAACTCTCTAAGGATACTCTTATCAATTAAGTAGTGAATTAGCTGGGTACGGTAAGTGCGTACAAGCAAACAGGAAACCTCTCCTGCCTGTGTTGGCGACGGGATCCAAAGATGATTACCTCAACTGGCCAGGAAATCGTTCGAAACCTAGGTAAGCCACTTGATCTCGACAACTTGTAGAACCTGCCTATGATTACGGACCTAAGTGGTTAACAAAGTTCAGGTTAAGGTATCTCATGGAAGGCTCGTGTCCAGGATGCCGTAATCTGGAAGCTTGTGTCATGCAGGTGGCGTTGAAGATCGAGTGCTGTTGCTTGGGGACACTGCGTGTAAATGGACTACGTCAGCTTCCCTGGCACCTCCAGTATATACCAAGCTGTGTGTGACACTCAGGGCACATGGCGAGCTGGGTCAGAAGAAGCGACGTGAGCCATGCTGAGGTTGTCCTCTCTGAACACCGCGGCCAGGGCACACGTGATGCTTGAGGTGAAACGCGACACTTCCGGCTACCGACGGCGGAATCCCATCCTGGGACTTCTCACACTGAAGTCAACTGCTGACCTCTTCACATCCTGTCAATCTTCGAGGCAAACGAGGGAGACGCCGATGTGACGAACGTGGTTGGTGCATGCCCGGCGGTGGTGTGGCTCAGCGGGCTCAGCACATCCGGGAACGTGGAGCATCGTCCCCCTTCGACTTTGATGTGTCCGGGCAAGGAATGGGTAGCCATGGAAGTAATGGAAGCAAATGCATTGATCAATTTTTGGTACTTTCCTTGCCAGCGTGTCGTCTGTCTACCTACATTCTCCTCAAAGTACCTCTTTGACCTTTTTGCATAGTGTGGACGTTCCAGCTACTTGACAACCCCACCAGTTGATGATCTGGCGGCAGGGAGATGCTGAATTGCTAGTTTCTAAAAACATCATGGAATGGCTTTCTGATTTTAACTGCATTATTAATGAACACACCCCTTTTCTTTCCCAGAAATAAACGTTTTATTGCTCCTGTGTTTGATAGCTCTGCCTCTTGCTCATCTGCTCCATAGTGCAAAAAGTCCAGTAGTCTCTCATACGTATCAAATGTTACCAGAGCTCTAAGGTATATCATTAAGTTGCACCACGCGCCAAAGTACCTTGGCTGTCTAGGTACTTCCTGTGCCTGGATACTCCCAATGTTCCATGGCCCAGGACCCGACAAGCCCCCTTTGTAGCTGCGCTAGGACGGGATACAACCCCCAGCAGTACCCTGACCTTGCCTTCTATACCTTACCACGGGTACCTAACACGCCCAGGTACCTCACCTTAGGCACGCTTGAGTTCCCTTTTCCCAGAGGCTGTTCACCCTCTAGGTACCTAAAGTGCCTACCTTCATCCGGGCGAGCGAATCTCTGTGGCCTAGAGCTGCCCGGGTGCCGACACCACCACCTCACCTCACTCTTTGCTGCCTCGCCCACCACCCTATGCTGCCTTGACCTGCACTGTCCACCACCTCTCTCAGTCTGGTTCAGTCCCAGACCCTTACACCTTGCCTCGCCTCAACTCAACTGCTTTATCTCTCGGGGCCGCGCACCACCTCCATCGAGCCGCAGTATCCTCGCTTCGCAACACCAACGAACCTACACCTCCCTAGACACTCGTCCATCGCATTTGCAACATAATCCGACATCATGGCCAACGACGAATATGACGTGAGTCTCTCCATCTCCCATCTCCCATACCCCTTGGCCCTACTGCCGCCCCTCTCCCTCTCCAACTGCTCTCAAGTCCCCCCCTCCTTGCGCTAACTTGAAGCCTCCGACAGTTCCTCTTCAAAGGTGCGCCAACGACCGATCCGACCTTGCGACGTTATCGCATAGTGGCCACAGGGTTTCTGTGAGGGCCAGCTGACATTTTCATCTTCTAGTGGTGTTGATCGGAGACTCGGGCGTCGGAAAGTCCAACCTTCTCAGTCGATTCACCCGCAATGAGTTCAACTTGGACTCCAAGTCGACAATTGGTGTCGAGTTCGCCACTAGATCCATCCAAGTCGACTCCAAGACGATCAAGGCACAGATTTGGGATACCGCCGGCCAGGAACGCTACCGCGCCATCACTTCGGCCTACTACAGAGGAGCTGTCGGTGCCCTCCTCGTTTACGACATCAGCAAACACCAGACATACGAGAACGTCACCCGGTGGCTGAAGGAACTGCGAGACCACGCCGATGCCAACATCGTCATCATGCTTGTCGGAAACAAGAGCGATTTGCGCCACCTGCGAGCAGTGCCTACAGAGGAGGCAAAGGCTTTCGCCAGTACGTTGCGGTGAAGCGTCAGGGGAGAGCGCCGTGGACCCTGAGTTGGCTAACCGTTGCTCTAGGCGAGAACCACCTTTCATTCATTGAGACGTCTGCCCTCGATGCCAGCAACGTCGAGCTTGCATTCCAGAACATCTTGACTGGTGCGTCTACTCCCCTATTTTGCAACTCACCCACACAACCCCGGGGTATCTGGTGACATTCAAGTGCTAACGTGATCCGCCTCGCCGCAGAGATCTACCGCATCGTATCCAGCAAGGCCCTCGACTCGGGCGACGGACCCCAAGCCTCGATCGGAGCCGGCGCCGGCATTTCGCTCAGCACGCCTGCTGACAACAGCGCAGAGAAGAGCGGCAAGTGCTGTTAAGCGAATCCCCTTCTGCGAAACTGTTTCACGGCCTTTTGGGAGGGCTGCTACGGTCGATATCATGGCATGTCACACACATGCCCCGGAATCTGTATGCCACTCGGTAAAGAAGGGGCTGCTGCATCGAGGAATGACTAGGAATCCAATGAGTCTTTTTATGATTTCCTAGGGGACGGAGTATAGTCTCGGCCTTTCTTTTGTTCTCCTTTATACGGCTCAGTGCGGCTTGTCTGGGATTTGACGTTTCTGACGATCGCTCTGACATGCTTACGTAGTTGAATGAATCCATCTTAATGCCTTGAGGGAGCGTCTTCTAGGTGGATTTGGTGATGTGCGAAATACTTTTTGCTGCTCCATTCAACGACCTGTCCTCGCCGTATATCATGCAAATCGTGGCCAAGATGTCCCTTGGCGAGGTTGTTTATGGTGTGCGATGGTATCTCAAGTAAACGGGTCGCATCTTTGGCCGCCTTCAACCTGGACAAGAAGTGTTCATGAGTTCTGACGTATCCTTTCTGGTGCACCAATACAGTAGGTGATTTACTGAACATTTTGCAGTCGTGACAGGTGTTCCTCTGAGCTCAAAGTGGCCTCTGCCCCTGGCCCAGCTCAATATCTTAGTGGTCAAACCAGCCATGGTTTAACAGAAGTACCGCATTCCCAAATTTCGGGGTCTTTCTCAAGCCATGTCCTGGCATCACACTGGTCAGGTTGTCTCGAAGCGCTCCAGCGAGGTGAAATTGAGGTGGACATGCAAGCTTGCTGCGATCCACAAAGTTTCTTTCCCCCCAGCCCGCGCTAGGTACTCGTAGGTCCTGTGGTGTCCATCCCCTCACGCCTGGCCCTGCCCCTCGAGTCCCCCTCGCTCTGCAGTTGGGTTAGCCTGCGCTTGAGTTTCCTGTCCCCCCCGTCTGTGGCACACTCTGACACAGTCTGGGCGACAAGGGCAGCAGAATGCGCGCAAGTCAGGTACGTACCTCCCTTACTCATTAAAAAGGTTCGAGGTGCACTGGCACCACAGGGAACCTCTCGACCTGGAAGTGGGTGGGTGCCCCGCTACACCGGGTCACCGCCTGGCCGATAAGCTCTCTTATCGGGCGTCCCGTCCGTAGCGGGAAGAAAAAAATTTGGGCTGGTCGCAAACCGTCGGCTTCTATTTCCTGCAGGTGGGCTGCGATATCTTCTTCGCGTCAAACATTCATCTTCGACGTCGCCAATACACCCCACACCACGTCCGTGACCCGACAAGATGGCTTCCGTGTACAAGTCATTGTCCAAGAAGGCCGACAAGCCTGAGGCGCCGACCAATGGCGTCAAGAAGGTGCGCCAGAAGAGGCGCGCTCTGGTTCTTTCGAGCAGAGGTGTCACTTACAGGTGAAGCTCCGCCAACAAATCTCCATGTGCCACTGCAATCTTGCTGACCTTGTACCTCAACAGACACCGACACCTGATGACCGATATTCACTCGATGATGCCCCACGGAAAGCTGGACAGCAAGGTCCGTAACATCCTCGCCATTGCTGGCTATACTCGTCGACGACTCTCGATTCTAACAAACCGCTTTAGTTCGATACCAAGTCAAAATTGCACGTCCTCAACGAACTCGCCGAGCTCAACTCGACACCTCAGATTTGCTACTTGGAGGCCAGGAAGCACCAGGACCTGTACATGTGGTTGGCAAACGTGAGTGGCTCCCACTACGGTAGTTGATCTCGAAGGGGGTGGGCAATACTGACATCTACAAGGCACCGAACGGCCCCAGTGTACGTCTACACATTCAGAATATCATGACCATGGAGGAGTTGCGCTTCCCGGGTAACTGTCTCAAGGGCAGCCGTCCTATACTGTCTTTTGACTCTGCATTCGACACCGAGCCTCACCTTCAAGTCATCAAGAACTTGATGACAATGGTGTTCGGTGTTCCTGAGGGTGCAAGAAAGTCCAAGCCTTTCGTCGACCACGTGATGGGAATTAGCTGGGTTGACGAGAAGATCTGGATCCGCTGTAAGTCTGATGACTACCTTAATAATCGCATTTGCGTCTCAAAGACTGACACTGCCACAATCAGATTTCGAGGTCAAGGAGGTCGATGCCGAGACGGAGGAGGAAACCGGAAAGTCAGCCCTCAGGGGAGGCAAGACAGACGTCGCCCTGGTGGAGATCGGCCCCCGGTGGACGGCAACCCCGATTGTCATACTCGAAGGCAGCATGTGTGGAAGCAAGATCTGGGAGAGCCGAAGCTTCGTCTCCCCGAACCAGATTCGTGCGGACCTGAGGAAGAAGAAGTCTACTCGCCACGTCTCGCGGACGGAGCAGGAGGTAGAGCGGGCGGCAAAGAGAGGCGAGCTCGGCCTCAGGAGCAAGGGTGGAAAGAGCGCGGCGAAGGACGAGCTGGATACCAAGGCACTGTTTGCGTAATAACGAGATTCCATGCTGCTCAGGCATATTTGAGTTTATTGACTGGCAAGGGGCCAATTTTCCCCCCTTTTTCCGCTCATGCTCAGGGGTTTTGAATTGCAGAGTAACTCTGGAGCACAAGAAGAAGGCAGAAGAATGAGGTATGCTAGGTGGCAGATACGGTATATGCCTGGCATCATCAATCATACCTTATGGACGGGCGGTGCGAATGGAAGCTTTTGATAACAAAATACGTACTCCCAAGGTTGGCTCCAACAACCTCTCGATGATTGGCTGATGCGCTGCAAACACCCTAGCCACAATCACGAGCGATACGGCACCCCTGACGCCAATTCCCCGGGGAAGGAACCCACTGAAGGTAGGGAGATAACTTCCGTCATCTTGGAAACTCGAGGTACCTGTGCGGCTTGACCTCCTGAGCTTGAGCAACCTACATTAGGTCAGCAACCAGGACCTTGGTGCATGTCCTCTGCGTCACCGTCGCGTCTACTCTTTTACTTGACCTCGATTCCCCCTTCGCGTTGAGGTTTCCCTTCCTGCAGTACTGCTTCAGCAACCCAGCACTGCGTTCTGTGTGAGCAAGCATGGCCAACCGGGACATCTGCCAGCCCATTCCGACCAATATCGTGTCTTCTGTGCAAACGATGCCGACCTACATCATCGCCCTTATTGATAGCCCCAACGTCGGGGTTATCAGGAAGTAAACCCATTGATCCAATACCTCACTGGTGATTTCATACATCCGTGAGGCCAGACGAGACGAATCAGTCTCAAAAACACACGCACATTCATTGTGGCTGGGTCCTTATCCGGCGACAATTTGTTGAAGCGCTCATCAGAGCTCCTCTTCGACATCAAAGCTAGGCTGCAGGCTCTAGCTCATTCTATCCGTCCTTGATCAGCAGGCAAGCATCAAAAGACGCCAGGGAAGTCATCTTCACGAGGGCCAACGAAAGAAGCTGCCTGAAAGCAATATGCTGCAATACACCAGTGAGTCGCGCGTTTGCCAACATCATTGTCTTTGGGAGAAAGCCTCTAAGATATTCACAGATTCAACTCGTATCAACTTTGCTGCCAAAGGCGTTCCGCTGCTTCTCTGACTTGTTCATCTGCATCATCGTCAATTTGAATCAACACCAGACTGAACTATAGTCAGACTACCCTCCCACCACAAACATCCCCCAGCTCGAAACTTGACTCTGCATTGCTCTATCAGATCAGTATCTTCCTTATACTTGATCAAGTTTCAGATCACGATCGCCCTCATTACACATAGACCGCTATAGACAACCATTGAATGCTTTCAAGATGTCTTCAACTTACTCATCACTATTTGTGGGCCAACAGCTGCAACCAGACCTGGCGGGTGACGATCTGGGCAAATTGGACGGCCTCGAAGGGCTTCCCCTTGAGATTATTTTCGATATTTACCATCAGCTCGATATCTGTAGCATCTTCTCCCTGGCTCAGGTCAACACGCTTTTCCATGGACTCTTGAAAAGAAATATGGCGGCGATTTTGCTGCCAGTCCTCCAGCGAGAGTTTAGCCCCTTGCCCGAGCTTCTCCAAGTCTTCACGGCATCGGACCAAGACATGGTCCAGTATGGAGATACCTTTCAGCCGCGACGAGTAGTTTTCAGAAGATTTCCGGGCGACATGACGGGCGTCACCCTATCCCGCGGCGGTGTTCAGCACAATGCGGGGGCTTTGAACGGCGACAAACCACCAAGAACTACTTTGCCGTCACCTCGATCGGTCACGCTTGTTGAACGAGACTTGAGGCCCTTGCTGAAGTATTGTTTGGTGACACGACAATGGGAGGAACTGTTCCCTCAACTCCACTGGTTTGCGACACCTGAGGACTGCCGTCAACTTGACGAGTTAGAGAAGTTCAAGCTTCGCCGTGCTCTTTATCGTTGGTGGCTCTACGCGTTTTACTTTCACGGTGAACTTCTTCGTCCTCGGAGCAGTCAGCCGGAGCCGTTCGTCAACGATGTTCGAACCAGTCACATGAGACTTCATTCAACGCACGAGTTGATCGAGATGAGAGATCTCTTTTTGTCGATGAAGAATCTTGTACGGCATTACATCTACCCGAACTTAGAGCAGAACCTCGATCCTGTAAGTGGTATTTGACGGCTTCCAAGTCGACATTGCAGGCGCAACAGCGACAGAATCGAATTAATGCTAACATCTACCAAAGGTTGACGAGAGCAGCCCCCTCGAGACTATGATTGAGACCAGCATTCGCGAACGCATTGTGGACACGTATGCCAAGCTGGATCCGGAAGACCTAATGTTTTACTTCGAGAACTTGTTCAACTACCCTCGGAAGAGACTGGTAATGGATGTCAACTTGAAGCATCCCGCATTCTCCCAGGACCAGGAATCTTTTGTAGCAGCGATCCAGTCAGCAGCAGACGAGCGGCCGTGGCTTTTCGACATTGCTGATTTGACCACCATTGGAGGTATCGTTACCTCTGATGACGACTTGAACGAGCATCTTGGTCGTGACGGAAGCCACGATGGCTCAATTCCTCCACCAGGAGCATTCCGACGGCCGAGAGGGATTTGGGCGCCACCAGGAGATGATGGTCGAGCTCTCGCCGAGCGAAGTCATTCCCATGACGGGCAACGCTACTAAGCATACTAAGCTTCCGATTGGAGGCAATCGGGGCCGGGGCCAGCATTCCGTGATATTTTATCTAAGCTGAGAGTGAAATATAA